TACAGCGTCCCTTGTCTTCGCGGGAATTAAGTTCACCTCAACAGCTCACTTAACTCAAAATCTATCCACACGCGTCCGATGACACCACGAGACGATGATGAGACAGGGACATCATGCGTCTCACGCTCCTCACGCTGTCGCAAGACCATGACACCTTTCGTCTTATTTATTTTTTTGTTGTTGCTGCCAATGTAGGAGATGACGCGGAATTACTTATTTTTTAACAGACGCGTGTTACGTAATGTTGATAAGAGCCAGTCCTGCAAAGACTTGGGCAGATATAGCATCTCCTCCTTTAAAAACGTTTCCAATTCTGTCATACCGTGTCCGGCAGCATAATCTTAATTAGGTCAACCAGACTGTTCCATATCATTTAAGAAGCAGTCTTTAGGGATTTATGAAAATAATTGTTTACAAACATTGTGCCTTGTATCGAAACGTACCGATGCGAAAAGCAAAACAGTCGCAAAGAAATCAATATATTTTAAAGAATCCTCCGAAATTTGATTTTGAATAAATGGTAAATAAAACTGCGTGTTATACATTTATCAAAAGTCATTTCCGGCTGTTTTCAAATAAAATAAACCACATTGTCCAATTTTTTTAAATATTGTTTGTGATCTTTATTTTCTTATTCCAATTTTGAATAACTGCAATCTGCCATTTACTCAGTATGTTTCCACACATACTTTAGAAAGTAGAACCAGCGCTGTTTTAAATCGCGGCATTGCCGAGGGTAAACGAAACAGAAATTTGTATATTTTTTCGCGAAAATAGATAATTTAATAACATGATTAGAGCAAAACTGAAATGCACATTTCTACGAAGCATTCGTGCTGCAGCCCACGCGTAATAGGTAATGAAGTAACGCAAGACGTAAGGGTGGCGCTTCAGTACTGCACTCACCTGACGCCCCCAGACGCATAATTTGGGGTATAAAAGGACCACGGTACGAATCCTACCTCAGTCGCCAACACTCAAGCAACTACTGGCTGCACAACCCGTTGCATACTTCCGGTCTCGAGGTGAGCAATAAACACATATTGTAATACTGCTTCGCTGAAGCACTTTTTTTCTTTTGTTAAAACTCACTGGAGTCATTTAGAAGGCACATTTGCAAGTCTTACTTCATGTATTCAGTTTACGTTGCCTGACCAAGATTAACCCTATAAAAACAGAACGATATTTGCCACCCTTAACATTATTCATAAAGTCATGCAACGTTCTCTGATGTTTAACTTCCACCTGCATCTTTATTTTAGCACGCCATAAGATGATAATTCCAAAGTTCGTTGTCGTACTGTTGCTGTTAGGTAAGCGTTGATTAAACATGTTTGCAATAATATGTACTATCTGTCATTTTTATTGCTCATGCTAAAGAAATTGTTTATTCTACAATACAGGACACACTTATGCCGGTCCTATGAAATTCCAGATCGATGTGAAAAAAAACGAACCATTTGTATTCAAATTTGATGCGGGAGCCAAAGTCGAGGTAGGCAAACCATTTTGTCTTACACAATTTAAGGACAAAACGCTTAAACTCGATGAAAAAGATCTAGCTCTTTGCAAAGAAAATGCGAAAACTGAGGCAGCTGACGTAATCAAAGATTGCTACAAACAAAGCGGTAAGTTTAGTTCTGCCGTTGTTTGCACAGCAGCTAATTTTGCATATTGCGCTTTATTAAACAATTTCGCGGCAGTTTCAGCCAGTATTCACTATCCTCTATTTCTCTTTCAGTGGACGTCAAAGTGAACTTCGTACTTACAGGCTTGAACGGCCAAACAACAGTGAAATTTACGCCTGAGAAAATCTACAAAATTGTAACGACCGGCACACCTAAGG